TGCCATGAGATTTAAGCTATTTAGTCTAAACATTTATGTGTTTGTTTGTAATTTGTAGTCATTCTAAAATGAGGCATAATTTATATTTATTTCCTAATTTTTTAATGTGGTTACGAGATTGGTCAAATCAACCAAACCTGTACAGAGATTCGTTACTGAAAATAACAGATAAAATATAAAGCTTTTTTCTTAAGAAATGTTTGATAACTATTTGGACATTATAAAGATTTTGCATGTGAAATTTTCTGATACAGAAAAGTATTTTTAATCTTAAAATGAAAATTACTTTGCATATGGAATAGGCAACATGTGAAAAAAAAAGGCATGAGAAAAATATTGCTTTACAAACCTGAAGACTTAATAAAAAAAATGATATTTTGTGTATGAAAGCATTGTAATGTTTATTGATAATCTGCCAAATTGCTTTAACATACATTTACTGATGTAAAAGTTATAGTATGAAAACTACAACAAGCACAAAATGAGGGACTGAGTCTGTGCTGAAAGAGTTAATGTGTTTACATGAGTACATCACATTGAGTTGTTTAATGTGTGTATACAATGTATTTAGTGTACCCAAAACAATGAATTGCATAGTGTTTACATAACTACATCATAATGGATTGTTTATTGGTCCCAACACAGTGAGTTTTGTAATGTTTATATTGATGCATCACAATGAGTTGTTTATTGTTTTCTCATGGAGTATTTAGCAGATCCAGCACAGTAACTCGTGTACTGTTTACAATGATGCTTTACAGTGAGTTGAATGGTCTATCCAGTAAAGTTGCTAAAAAGTTCTACTGTTTTAAATATTTTACTCATTACCTTGTAGAAAGTCTGGTAACAAATGCAGAGTTGTATAGTCTATGAAGCTGTTTAGAAAACTGATGCCTATCCCTTTGATTTTTGGTACAATATATGGAAAATAAAAAAAAATGTTCATCTTATAGTAAAAACTATTATTAAGAATAACAGTTAAGTGCTTTGTGAAATTCAAGCACAATAGAGTACATTCTCTTAACAGCATTGTTGAAAACAGTCGCAACTTCTGTTTGAATGAAGTTATTATTTCTCAACATTTTTGTCTTTGTCTATTTGTTTGAAATTTCAGGTGATAATCTTGGAAAGAGTACCACATAAAGAATTTTTTTAAACATGACATACAAATCAAAATGACCAAAAATGCTTAAAGAAGTGAGACAACAGGCTTAAAGAGCTGTCTTTATATATATTCTTTTCAAAGATCTATCACATTTAGACACACTAATAGGAATTTAATGACATGATAGAAAGAATAATTTTTGACTGTTTGAACAAATGAAACTTCATAAAAACCACCAATGTATAAATTTCAGAAATGTTCAGTTTTATAGCTTCACCATATGTTAGTAAATAAGACATGTATATTAAAAAAACAGCTCCATACCCACATTCATAGATTGTACCCACACATACAGGTAAGATGTATTTCTAAACCAGATGTTATTTGCAGTATTTTTAGATTAATTCTCTTTACTGAAACTCTAAATATAATTTATTAGTTTATTTTGTATTCTTACAAACAAGATTATATTGGATCCACAAAGAGATTGCTTCAGACATGAGTGAAAGAACATGGATATTTAAAGAAATCAAATAGATCAAATATATTGGAATACTGTTAGGTGAGTGTGACATGGAAGGTCTTGATGGAGGTCAGTGACGAACTAAGACTCTGTATAAAAGAGAGTATGTTCATTCTTAAGCAAGCTTCACCAAGTAATTTCAGCATATAAATTGATGCTTATGGTAATAAGGATTTAGATTTTGTATCAGTTTGATGGATATATTCATTCATCTAAAAAATGCACCTTGCCATATCAAAATGTTTACATTTGGTTGATGTCCATTGTGTTCTTACTTACAACAGTACTTTGGATTTGTTTATGCAGATTCTCAACTGACTTGATTAACATGTATTGCATTGTGTTTTTGGTGAAATCAAGCCTAACATTTTATGGTAATTTAATAACTTCATTACAGATGATATTACTTTTTTCTACATGTAAAGGGCTAGATGGATGCATAAATACTTCATTTAAAGTATTAGAAATATTTGTGGAGTGAGTAAATGTGTGGTTTTTGTTTTGATTGTTAAATAATATTATTAGTGATGTTAAGATGTAAAGACAGTATTTTATCAAGTGACATTGGTAAAAGGACCGATGATGAGTTGAAAGATTAAACAATAATGTATAATATCTTGTTGATAGTGTTCTTTTCTCTAGGATACTATAGAAGCTTTCGTAAGTTTTTACTAATAAAAAAAAAGGTTTGTTTGTCATTGGGCATAGCTGGCTACGGGGTTTTAAAATAATGTGAAAGGATAATTATGTCACATTAACCTAAGGCATGTTTCAATACACTTGAGATTAATCCTACAGGATCACTGATGCAAATGTTGAGCCAATTTGTGGTAGAATTATCTTCTTCTGAACAACAATCACATGTAATTGATAGACAGTGTTAGAAATTTTCAGTAATGGTATTTTGCCTACAAAACAAAAATAGTTGCAATGGTTGCTTGTATTTGTACGTGTTTAGGTTTCAAAACGTGTAATAGTTATACATGTGAATAATCTCTGTAATTAGCTATGGTTTTACAATAAAAAGTGTGTAATACTAAGATAATACTACTAATACAGATATGTTCTACTTTTTAATATTGATTGGGAAGAAATTATTTAGATTGGTAAATATTCATTTATTTAGCCTGGTTGTTTTGTGAATTGTTACTGCTGTATGTAAATGTCATGTGCAGTACCTATACATGTATCTTTATCTTACTGTTGAGTGAATTGATTGTACCAGGGTTCTCTTCAGAAACTTTTGTAGGGTAGTTAAAATAACACATCCCTTAAAGGCTATTGAAAGCCATATTGAGGTCCATGGTTTTGATAATTTTGTATTAGCAAAAAAAGAAACTTTTTTAAATAGTCAAATGTTACTCCATAATTTTATTGCAATTTGTCACTCTCAAATCCAATTTTGAAAGGAATAAAGACATTAAAGAAACACAACTACCAATTACATTTTTTTATACTGTGTTAAAAAGCTTTTTTATTTAAACAAGTGAATAAGGAATGAACTTTTTTTCGAAATTACTTTTGCTTTTATGATTACCAAATCTAGTTTTTGCAATTATTATCAGTCATTGGGACAATACAAAAATATGACTTAATAATTTATCTTAATTCTCTTTTACATATTTATTGAAATGATGTTCACACTAAAGTACCTTGAGTTATACCTTGGCTCAAGAACTAAAAGCTTTGCACTTTAAGCATTCAACTCAAATCATGTGTTCAAGTTGCAGCTTTTTTATAGTGCATCAAGATCAATAATGAAAGTAAGAAGATAGATCAACAAAAAGTCTCCATAAAACAAAATAAAATTACATTTTGTTTTTTACCAAAGTATTGGGGGGGGGATTGATGGAGAGTATCTTTAAGAAAATAGTGTCAGGGAAATAATGGAAGGTTATTGCTGTGATACTTCATCTGCACTTACAATGTTTGTTGTATTGTCTTATGCAAATAACATCACAGTTAGTACCTGTACATGCATCATTATCCTGTTATTGAGTAACTCATATATGCTGTTTATATGTTTTGGAGTGGTATATGTTCATTTATTTATACAGTCTTGGTACAGATAGATGTAGTGAGTGATCATATGAAAAATGTCTTTAGATGAAATTGACTGGTCAAGTTATCCTTTGGGGACTTGCCTGTACTACAGTTCCAAAGGTGGAGTAACTGAACTAGAGTTAAGACCAACTTCTTGTGTAGAAAATGACATTCCTCAACAAGATGAAGACATGGACTATAATGCTGTGTAAGTTGTTCTTGACATTGTTATAAGATAAAATAATAATATCAGTGAGAACTCGTGTTTATTGTTGTTCTAAAGAAGTGTAGTTTAGAAAGGTACTTAGTTTTAGAAGCAAGTCAAAGTTTTGAATATTATGGAACTATACACTATTGGAAATTAGAAATATTTACAAACACAATATTCAAAAGACCTTTATCACATTGACTTAATACTTATGGACATGCTATACTTTTGTGTCATACATAGCTTGTCCACTTTAGTTTTGTGAAATGTCAGTGGTTATTACATACTTTGTATTTTCAGTCATTTTTAATATGTTTATTTAAAGACAATAAAAAGATTCTCTTTCTACTGAGAATAAAGTATGGACCACATTATTAAAAGTAGGTTAACTACATAGGGCAGAACTAAATAAGTAATATATATATTAATAAAGACAATCAATCACCTAGAACAAACTGACTAGTACTACGTAATGAACCTATAATAGCTGTCAGAAAAAGGGGTTCAGAGTCACCTATCTCTAACATGTTGAGGCAGATTTCACTTTGGACACACACAGAAATTTTGATAGGCTTACTATTTCCCTAAAACAGATAAATATTCTTAAGTGAATTATGTAGCTGAAATCCTGTAAAGTAAGATAAAGAGTTTAAGATAAAAAAAATTATGTTGGTGCTTTAACTCTGTATGCACAAGTAGGGTCAAAATGTGCATGTCACTACTTTTTACAGAGCTACATTCTAAACTTAATAAAACTACTTATCAAAATTTAGTTAATAAATTATATAATTTTTATTTTCTTAATTCAAAAGGAAATATTGAAAACAAATTGCTAAACTCTCACTCTTGTGTGTCATATGACATGCCCACTTTATAACTTGTTCAATTTACATATTATCATATCTACCATACAGTACTTAACCAATTAAAAACTTGCACTTTTCATATTGACAAGCTAGAATATAAAATAACCTCTCACTCTCTTGGTTTGCTAAGATATCAATATATTTAGCAAACTTAGCAGGGAAGCCCATCCCTTCATTCTTTTAAATATACTTGTTTACCCACACCTACCTGTCTTAAATACATGTTTATAACAAATAAAAAGAGCAGGTTCTTAACCATATAAATCTGATGGCTGTTTGTCAATTTTTGGTGAGAAAATCCGAAATTTGCTATGAAATGTTGAGGTGTATTTAATAAAATTGCTGCTCTGAAAATATATTAATTTTATCCCTTTATATATTAGTTAGAAAGCCAGATAAATTTTAGTAGTTTGTGATGTCCTATTGTAGTGAGAGAGAATTTTGTTTTCTAAAATGCATATTTACAGTTTACAAAATTTAACGTGTGTTCACCTTAGTTTGAGAGAATCTGTCAGGCTTAGCTCAAAGGTTAGCAACTACATCTTCCTAAATGCACGTTGATTTCATAAAACTGGGAGTAGTAGAAGTCATAATTTATTGTTATCCTTGTGTTTCAACTAAAAGTAAATTTAAGCATTTATGAGGAAATATAGGTCAGTTTTACTATAAAATTACATATTTCACAACTGAACATGTGCTATTCTTCTACTCACCTGCAAAGTACACATCTCAAGGCTTTTTTCATAGCTTTATTATGAATGTGTGTCAATAAACAATAATAGTATACAAGTTTTAATTTTTCAATTTCAAAAGGAAATATTTAATGTCTCTCTCTGTGATGTGACGTACCCGTGCACCAAATTGTGGATCTTAGATTTTTTTTACTTCTAATCCTTGATCTTCTGAGTTTAACACAAATTACTATACTATAGATATTGCTGATCCATAATGTTAATTTCCCTCCAAGCTTATTGCTTTACTGAGATATGACTAGAAGTTTTATGTGCTTGCGTGCTTCTCAGACCCAGGTGTTACTGTTTGCTGGAAATAGCATAATGGCTCATGCCTTGATTTATTGTTTTATTGTCTGAGGATAATTAGTGTTCCATACAGCAACATAAAAACAAAATAGAAATGTTTAATAAAAGAATAAATATTTAAACAATGAATATAAGTAATTTGTAACTTTACAGTCAGTACTGATAAGGATAGAAGTGTGTTACTCAATATGTTTCATGTTTTAAACCACTCTTTTCATTATACTTAGATTATGTCTTCAAAGACACTGGAGTCAAGTATGCTGTTTGTGTAAAGAAATCTGCTGATAAAATATAGAATGTTATAGAAAAAAACTTGATATTCATATAGGAAGGTTATTCAAGTGAGAACTTTAAAATGAAAATAAGTATTTTATCATGAAATTCACCTTTCACATAGACTGACTCCTTAATTTCTCAGAAAAATCTTCAGTAGACAAACCTAAGTTGCAAATCTAGTTGTAAAACTTTTCTAAGGGAGTATGCTCCCAAACTTCTCTAGTTTTTGCCTTTAATGTTTCTGATAAGCTTCATTCGCTTTCAGTTTTGCCCCCCCTCCACAGTTTGCAGTTGATGTTTTTGATGATAATGATAAGAATACATTTATTCTCCAGTTAATAATATTTCCAAAATATACATACCTCTGCTCCCACTTATAGCTATTAATAGACTGCCAGGGTTTCTTCCTTTGCCCATCTAAGCATTGGTCTGATTTGGTCAAATCAATTTCGTGGCTGGAATTTAGATTTAAAAATCTTTCAAGCCTCGAAAAAGGATTTTGGGGCCTGAAAGACAACCCATGACGGTCAGAAACTTTTGCTGCTCTTCACCCCGCGTGGTAAAAAGGTTAATGCCAAATGAACTTTGATAGAGCCACTACACTTAGTTTAATTTTAATACGTATGATAGATTGTTGAGAGATATGAGGAGACGAGGAAAATGCCGAACTAAGCATGCCGGGAGAATCGCGTAGAGACTGTCATTCTGTAGTTAAATGGAATATGTGCATTTGTTTGTCCAAGTGGCAATGATGTCAGTTGGAGAAAGCAGTTGACAAGGATTGGATCAAAGAGATGCCGACTGAGTAAGCACATTTCTGTTTGAATAGTTTTCTAAGAGATTGATCAATTTAAAAAAGAGAAACTTTTTTAAGTTACAGAGATATGATTAAATGATTAAAGAAAGTCTGATGGACTTACTGGAGTAACAGCCATTTTCAGGGAGGCTGGGATTTTTTCTTGCTTGCTTGAGTCTTTTATACTTCACTTAATTGTCCTTGGCAATATTTGTCTTGTTACACTCTCCTCCTACGTCAATGTGTCCTCCATCCTGGTGCTGTGTAAAAGCACCTCATTCACTTTTTGCATTTTTTTGTCCACGTGGCAGTGATGTCAGTTAGAGAGAGCAGTTGACAAGGATTGGAGCAGAGAGATGCTGACCGAGTAAGCACGATTCTGTTTCAATAGATTTCTGAGAGATTGATCGATTTAAAGAAGAGAAATTTTTTAAGTTACAGAGATGTTATTATTAAATGATTAAAGAGAGTCTGATAGACTTACTAGATTAACAGCCCTTTTTGGGGAAGCTGGAATTTTTTATTGCTTGCTTCAGTCTTTTATACTTCACTTAATTGCCTTTGGTGATATTTGTCTCGTGACACTCACCTCCTACGTTAATGTGCCCTCTATCCTGTACTGTGTAAAAGCACCTCATTCACATAATGTTATCACTCTCTCTTGACAAAGCATCCTCTAACGGGTTTCTCTGTACTAATGCTACGATCATTGGAGATACTTTGAGCATTCTTACTCGTTTTTTGACCTGACTCTCTGGCAAGGATTTTGCATCTTCCACAATCATTGTGTATACAGTGGCCTTATTGACTGCCATTCAATATTCGAGATAAATCTTGTTTGGGTTCCAAGTACTCTCTAGCTTTCTCAAGTCTCTTTGTGTCCCTTGTACCAAACGACCATTCCAGTTAACTAACTGGTATATTAAGGTTACATTATATACCTTTTCTCAACACCCATTTGTGACCTTAGCATCATATGTCATGTATTACCTTCACCTGAAGGTTTGTTTTTGATGGCTGCTAACTTACTGACATTGCTGTTTAGAGTGGTTTGCACTAATAATCTACAGGATGCTTTATATTGTACATACATCCTCAGACTAGTTCTTCCCAACAACACTGTCAGCCACAGAAGGGGATAAATCCTTTTCACCAATTCATCTGATCACTATTTCTCACTTCTATGACCAATCAGATTTTGATCATTTGTTCTGTTCAGTGAGGGTCTTGAAGGTTTTTTTGCCCACACTAATGCTTTTAGAGTGGCTAGACTGATTTTTTCTTCAATGGGATCATTCAGCTTCCCAGGATTCATACCTGGTTACATTGACAAGATGGGTATGAAATGGTTCCATATTGCTTATTCTGAGCTCTCTTTGAAGGTAAGAAATCTTCTGTGAGTCATGTCTAATCAGATTAGTCACATTTCTATGTTCTTAGCAGCCCGTTTAAATTGCCCACTGGAGGACATCATGTAGGCTGGTGTGTGTGGACCTCCCCAATACTCACGTTATTTGCATGATCTAGCAGTATCTTCATCTGAGGATGTTTGACTACCTCCTGTAGCTATCTTAACCACTTCCACTAGGTTATACAGAAGAGTGAGTATTTTCATTGCTATGCTTGTCTCTTCTTTACTTTTCAGGGTCCCTTACTTCATTTTCACATGATCCCACTTTGTAGCGAGTGTTGCCTAGGCAGATGTACTTTTATCAAACCAATTCTGCACTAGCAACCACTATTTCAATATACTTAATACAGGTTACAACAAGCTCTGTAGAAATGAGGTGTTTCATAAAACCACGTAGGAGCTGACCAGTTGCTATTACGGTACTATGCTGGACCACCACTCATTGACTATCGTGAGTAAAGCATAAGGGGTCTTGCCCATCCCTGCCAATCATCAAATTGAATAAATTGGGGTTGGTTTGCTTTTAAAATTTTAGGGAACTTGGTTCACCTATTGCACTATTTCCAGAGCACAGTTCCTCAGGACTTTCCAACACATTACCTCCCAGATTCTACTAGTGGAGCTAGGTAGTCCTTAACACAGTTTCCAGTCAGTGGTGTGGTGGACAGAGGCTTTTCCTTCAGAGTATTAGAGTGAATTCCTCCACTCTTCGAGAAAAGGGCGAAGTTGGGGGGGCCTCCTACCTAGGTCCCTGGATGTTTTTCCCAGATGTGGGTAGGAGTCGCACCAGTCTACGTGGGAGTATACTCATAATACTGGTTCAGCTTTTACATTCTGCTGTCCATTTGGGAAATGCATGACCTTTCTGTTTGATCAATATAGATCAGTACATTGTTCATGGAAGAGGGTCCACTATCTCCTCATAATTCTGAATTTGGAGTGGTACCTTCCTGGGTCCTTGGTTGAGTGCTGGTGTTCCATGTCCTCCACATAATTCCTGGTGCAAGTAAAATATATCTTGCCAACACGGTTGAGGAGAGGGGATGAATGTTCATAATTACAGACCAGATGAGTTCTGTTTCCTTTGGCTGAGTAAGGCATACTTGATCCTGTCATCCCGAGCCTGGGGTGTTCCCTTTCAGTCTTCTTCAGGTAAAGGAGAAGGTTTGTCCACTTCAGTGTTGCTTACATTCTTGTTGTGATTCCAGTGGCTTGGATTGCATCACTTTGTAGCTACAGGTTGGGATCTACTCATAAGTTTATATATATGTGTGTGTGTGTGACATTGCTGTCCAATTGCCCCAGCCACAAATGTGGGATATAGAGACCAAGACCCCTTAATTACAACCCCAAGTAGTGGAACCTCAGCTATCTAGTTGGGGCTGGCCTATAGTGATGATTACTAACATATAATTCCACTCACAATACAGGAATTAAGTTCAGGGTCAAGAGAATACCTGTTTTGGATATAGTGCAGTTCCCCCACTAGGATGCCAATCTTCTGTTGACACACCCATGATCTATGCAGATGCTTTCTCTATGGATAATGCCCTCACAAGCCTCTCCACCTTCTCAATGTGGGATTCTAGCTATAAGTGGGAGTGAAGCTATGCATGTTTTGGAAGTTAACATTTTCCTAAATTGAAAATGTATTTCCAATAATACTTACCTCCGCTGACACTTTTCTGTCTTCCTCCCCACTAAGAGCCATTTTTTATCATTATTTATTAAGAAACTTTGTCTTGGTGTTGAAATCACACAATTGATATAGAATTCCACAAAATTTTAAAGCCCCATTTGCAATTAGTATTTCACAAGAAATAACCCTGTTCTGGTAAAAAAGCTCTAGTTCATGTCTTTGATGTCTGCTTAGAAAGCATGACTATTTATTATAAAAGACATGTATACTTTACATAATATATATATATATATA